CATTCTTTTCATTTTTATGGACCCAAAAATCTCTTTCGATCAGAAACCAGTTCCAACGTAAAATAATAAGACAGAAATTCAATGCATACGCTACAACAGATATATTAAAGCATAATTACAAGTGTTGCCGCGATCTCCTTTGTTCGGTATTAGAACTGTTCTGAAATTTTTCCATTTTTCCAACATTTGGCACTGATTTAAAGCACACCCTGGCTTTACGTTGCACACTGGAGCTTAGATCAAGGCGGGAGTTATAGCAGATGAAAAAGGGCACGAAATTTGAAGAGTAAAATTTAAATCTTTTTATGGACAACAGTAAAACTTAACTTTTTATTAAATTTTACATCAAATTCCATGAATTTTTGCCAAAATTTGCCTTCCATCATCAAAATTCGAGTACGCAGTATGAGCTGTGTGAGCGTATTACTATGGTTTTCACTCAGCTTTACCCAAGCATCAGCTTCATAGATAAGGAAGCCCACTACTGCAGATAGGCCTGAATTCCGACTAAGAACACCACGATAAAAATTGGGAAAGGAAATAAATGCCGTTTAACAGCAAAAATACAAAGAACGCTCGGGCTATCAGTGTGGGATCCGGAAAATGTAAAATCCAGTTGCCCATCTTACCTTGCTTGTAAGCAACCTCAGATATATAAGAGCCATCGACAATTCTGCGACGAAAAGCATACTGTTGGCATTTGTTGCTATCTTCAGAACATTTCTGAATGCGTCTGCTATTCACGGAAAACGAATACGAAGGGAATTTTGACTTTTGACTTTGACAAATATGAAACGAATACACAAAACCATTATGGGAATAGCTTACCAACGAAGAACTGGAAGTGTGAAAAGGAATATACACAAATACGTGCACATACATACATACACATATGCACACACGCACACACACCCCCAAACACATACACGCACACACACCCACCTATACACACACGTACGCACACACATACATACACACATATTGTGTTTTAGTAGAAATGCACTGATAAAAATATCGGTGCTAAAAAATGAATATTTTTACTCATAGCGCCGGATCACTTGGCTCATGGATCGATGAAGAACGCAGCAAGCTGTGATAAATTTTTTTGCGAATTGCAGACACACGGAGCACCAAAAATTTCGAACGCACAAACCAGCTAGTGGTAATGCTTCAAACCAGAAATATATAGCAGTGGCGGCCCAGATATTTTGCTTTTTTCATCCTCGCTTGTGCTTCTAGTGGCGCATCTGGGAGGAAACCGCAGCAGTCGCCACCTGAAATAGTGTGTTCCTTAAATTATGCAACAGGCCAAGCAAAAAATGGGTAAATTTCCTCAGAAGGCCGAATTCACGTAAAAATGACAGCTGAACCGTGCGAAAACAGCAGAAGATGGATTATCACATAATAATTTAGTGTTTTTTGTTAAAACCATTGTAAGGAGCCACTGCGTTACAGCCATGCAACACGCCTGGTCCCCGGTTCCAGTCTTTATGATCTGTGATCACTGGGTATAAAAGCATCGGAACCGCTAGCGCATTAGGCTAGTCCAACCCACAAACTTTTAAGGTCGCGCGATAGGGTCATCGAGAGGCCACTGCACAGCCCACCAACCCATGTACATCAGTGCGACGCT